TATTAGCATGTAGTTTGTACATACACTCGTCCCAAAAAGTATTTGATTTATTTTATTATGCTGCACTTAAATTGAATTTCATTACATGTAATGATACCAAGTAGCATCTGCAAACAAATGATGCTTTTTCAGAACTGACTTTGAGTAATTTTTGTAGCTAATTTTAACCAAGTGATCTCAAAAAGGATGTACAAGTCGCTTGCCCTCAAGTTCACAATGTGAAAGCAAAACATTGACACACTAATAATGTTTGACAACCAGAAGTATCCAAATATATGTAGTCTTAATTTTAACTGTATATCTGTTGATTTTCTCATTTAAAAACCAACAAATAACTTTTATTGAAGTGATTGGCTTGATTGCTTTTCTTTAAAATATATGCTATTTAGTTTGATACGTAATTCAGTGACATTCTAACTTTTTTTTTAGTATCCAAACACGCTGTAAGATGTTTTGTTTTAGTTTTCACCATGTGGAAAATAGCTAACCATTTCTGTGGCAGAGCTTGAATGATTTTGCTTTGAGGAAATGTCAAAGGCTGGTTGTATAGCGTGAGTCAGTGGAACTTTCACAGACTGAGGTCAAGCTTGTATTGTCATCAGTTGCTAGTAGACTTGTGCTCGTTGTTATTTGATTCTTGTGCATGTGAATCTGAATGGATTTGCGTCTAGCTTTATCTTGTGTGTATTTGAATGTCACCCACAGCAAGGTAAAAGATCTTTGGTGATTCGGTGTGTGCATGTAGTCACCATCTCAACTTTTTTTTTTTTTTTTTTTGAAACACTGAACCGCAATAAAATTCAATCATAATCAAATATGCTTATTTTCACAGTTACAGCCTGGAAGGACTTGTAGCAGAGAAGGAAGGAAGGAAAAGCCTTAATCAGTGCATGGGGGAGGCCAGCCAGGAAACGAACTGTCCGTCGAAGCTGGAAAGAGAAGAGAGAGGCTCTCTTGTGTCCCTGACAGAAGAGGAACAGGAATCAGACCTGGGCGACTGCAGCAGTTTGGACAGTCAGGTGAAGTACTATTTAGAAATAGATAGATCCAGCCCTAAAATCTGATTGGTTGTGCAACACTCACAGACATTGCAAAAAGACTATATATGCACCTGTCACCACCACACATCAGCTGAAATCAGTGTTAATGTAACAAAACCTATTAAAGCTAACTATATAACTTGTAAATAATATTGTATTATTAGTATTATTATATTATTTTAGTTTATAGTTTTAGTGAGTATATTTTAAACCATTTAAACGAACTAAATTTGTAGAATTGTATTGTTTTTTGTATTTTAATGCTATCATTTTAGTATGTTATAATATCAATGATATTAATATAATTTGATTTATATTTGTTTTGTAAGCATATTATTTAAACCATTTAGATTACCTATATATTCTAGATTTTTTATTATTTTAAATATTTTATCATATAATTTTATATCTGTATGTATTTATTGTGGATATTTTTATTAGTAGGAAAAAAAAAATATGATTATAAAATAAAAAAATATAATAAAATAATTATTAAATGCAGTTTTTGTTAAACGTTTGTCTTATAACAACACTGTTTAAACATTTAGTTTAGCCAAAAAGATGACAATGTTTAATATTTATGCATCTCTTTTACATGCAACAACAGTTTATATTGACTGTCAAGGTCCATATGATAATAACAATTGGAAAAATATTAAAATATTTACTGACAATCTTCCTTTCTGCCAAGGAAATCCCATGTTTTGAGAGAAGGCTAAAAAAATCCTGCAGTGCGTCAGTTCTAGTATGCTGAATGCGTTTTTTAGAGTTGCATCTGCAGATTTTCCACTTAAATTAGTAGTCGTAATTCTATTGCATTTAATTACCCTGATTAATTGATTTGTTTACTGCTTTCAGAAGTCCATCCAGTCTGGACGAAGATGTGTCCCACCTTCACAACCCTTTCTCACCAAGTCTGTCTCCATGTTGGCCATCAGTCACAAAGATCTGGATGGTGAGTTTAAACACCTCTTCGGTTTTCTCTCCTGTGTCTCATTGGGCCACTCTGAGTTCTGCAGCACTGCTATAGTGCAAACAACATATTTCATACATTAAAACAAAAAAATGTTATAAGCTAAAACTATTTTATAAGCTTCAAAATTGCTTTTAGATCAGATGTTGCAGAGTTCAGAGTTTTGTTTTCTCTGCTGGTCTCTTGTGGTAAGATGAGTGGAAACGTTCGGTCATATATTACCACACACTGACCACTCACCTCCTGTCAGTCATATCTAATACCCGATTTCGTGTCCTGGGACCTTTATACTGCAAACATATCCTGTATCAACTGGGATTGTTGGTATTCTTCAACTCATCAGATGTGGACCTCCCGTGGTTCCCTTTCACTGTGGTGTCACTTTAAGGGAGTGGACATTTACTGCCAGTGTATTAGCACCTAGTTTTATTATAATGCCTGCTTTGATCTTTTTTGCTCATGTGATCATGGAACCCACCAGCAATCGGACGGCCGCGACCCAAGCGACGAATCTCCTTCTCCTTCAGCATCTCGCCCATGCTCCCCAAATCTAAAACACTCTTTTCTATTGGCTCTTCATCCAGTGATGAGGAGGAGGCAGTCAGTAAGTAAAAGAATATCCCACAGTGCCTGGCGTGGCCCCTGCCCGACCCCTGCTTAATATGAAGTGTGTCCCCCTACCTCCCTTGTGTCACTAAGTTATTGATCAGATCGGCTCATTGAAATTATTTCTAAAACAACCATTCATTCATTCATTCATTCATTTATTTAATTATTTAATTATTTATTTATTAAATATTTTTTAATTAATTAATTTTTTTATTTTAATTCTATTGTCCCATGTGTTGTTGAGTTTTATGACACTGTTGCAATTTATTGATCTGAAGTGTTTTATCTAGTTGGATTTATCTTACTGTACTTATGGGTTAATACAAAATTATAAAAAATTAATACTAAATGACTGAGGTGCCAAAATAATGAAACGGCTTTTAAAATTCTCTATGCAATAACTTAATGAACTTATATGTATGATGTGCATGTTGTCTGCTGATGCATTTAGTGTACAGTCAACAGAACTTTGAGGAGAATCTTTCTGAGAAAGTTAAGACTAGTTATTTAATAAGTGAATTAATAAGGTTATAACTTGCTTCCTGAATTATAATACATTTGGTTTAATGGCGCAGATATTTGAAAGTGCATTGCACCCTTGAGTGCTGAGGTTTGTTACAGCCGCTGTAACACAGTGGTGCTTATGTATGGCGGACGTGTGTGTTTGCAATGCTTTTGATTCAAATTCTTCTCAGCCCCTCATCTGACAGAAGAATGGTATTTTACGCATACTTTTGCTCAAGTCATTCATTCCTGTGGATTATTGGACGAATGGATAGTGGGTCTCCCAAATGAGACATTGCCACGTCTGTGTAGTTCCTTTCCATTGGCTCCATCTCTTTCCATGTCTTTCAAAGTCATTCAGATCCACATAAACACTTTTCATAGCACTGCTTATAGATTTCACAGCTGCTTAGAGCTCGTTTTAAATTGTAAAAAGGAATGGCTAATTAAAAAAAAAAAAAATTCCTTAGCTGTTTTTTTTTTTGAAGATCAAACTTATTGGTATAAAAGCATTACAAATCAGTATCTGTAATTTTAGATGTCTAATTTAGCTCCAGGATCATTTGACTTTTAAAGCTTTTTTTTAATAGCCTAATGTTAATATACTTTGTCTTTTTGAAGCTTATTATACAGAGTAAGTTATACTGCCCCTAAAGGCTAAATGCAGTAACTACGCCAACACTGGAACTAATAAAAATGTTTTAAAGTTTGTTGCATTTTTATTGGTTTAATTATACATTATTTACTTTTTTTTTTATTTAACTGAACATATCTAAGTCAAACTCATCTGACACTGGCATAAAAAAATAAAAAAAACTAATGTACAAACACAGCATAATCATTTATTATACAAGACCAAAAAAAACAAAAACACAATGAGCCTGTTTCTCCAGTCCTTGCAAACCATTATCAATCATTTCATCTCTCACAGTTACGCTTTTGTGGTTGCAGTACAGTGTTTTTCTTTAAGCTTTTTTGAGTGTTGTACAAATGTGGCGTTTTGCTTGAAGAATTGCCTTTGTTCTCTGCAGGGCTGTGACTTAGAATCTATTCACGCCATAAAACTTCTTGTGTAATTTCTTTTTGTACAAGTACAAAACTCCTGAGGCTCACTGAAAAGTGATTAATAATGTCAGTTGTTGTTCTGTGGTCTCGTTTATGTCGTGTAGTTAGTCGTAATCTTGTCTCCAATGTACTTTTGGTTTAATCAGTGTTTTTTCTCTCGTTTCACAGGTACATCAGGATCGTTAGAGTACAGGTACGACCCCTGCATCACATGATAATTGGCTATGTTAAAGTCCATTTATTTATTTATTTGTCATATTTATTATATTAATAGGCTATTAATATTTTAATGATATTTTTTAGCTTTTTTGTCAGTTTTATTGGTATGGGATAGGTGATGAGATGAGAGTAAAAATTTTTTTTTTTATTTTTGAGCCAGATTATGTGGCAATGGAACCAAGAAATGTTGTGAGCCAGATTTACACTCAAAGCTATATAGACAGAACTGCTATATAACTGCAAGGCCCAAGCTCTGACAGACCTTAATATACTCATGCTGTGTCTTAGTTGGCATACTTATACTATGCCCTAAAAGTATGTACTCTTTTTGTGAAGAAAATGTACATACCTTGTCACAGTTAATCGTCTTGTCACGGTTAATATCATCCACAATTTGTTTCATTTAATTTCCTGGAGTGAACTGAAGCAGTGCGTACCGTTGGCACACTCATTTCAGCATACTACGATTTGGGGCACACTCATTCTAATTTTAAATACCGTTAAGAATGGATAGTATGCAAATTAGGATGCAGGACCAGTTTTATATTTTCCCATTTTTCATCTTTTGTCTCATTCAGTATATCAGAGGAGGATCCGGGGCCGTTGCGGAGTGACAGTGAAGGAAAAGTTGGAGGAACCAAAGTGAGCAGGACCTTCAGTTACCTCAAGAGCAAGATGAGCAAGAAGAACAAGGTTGGTATACATTTTACTTTACTATATATGTATGTATATATGTATATGTGTGTGTATGTGTTTCAGCTGTAGTCAAACTAGAATTCTTCCGCTCGAAAACCAACACATTTCCTTCAAGGCTTGTCTAAACCATCTTAGACGGAAACAAATGTTATCATTTTAGTTTGCCACATATCATTCTGATCTAATGGTGTTCTTTGATGCAGCAGCATGCACCTGCTATTTAACTTTAAGGTTTTCTTCCTGTGGTTCCTGTTGATGATGAGGTTGCTGATGGTGTGAAAGCTCTCAGCAACCCCCGCACTATCTGAAGTTGCTAAAGCGCTTGCAGAGTTTGCTCTTGCGCAGGCAAATTAGGGCTCGCGGTAGGGAAGTTCAACAGGATGTAGAAGCAAGCTGTGGTCTCTCTATGGCTCGTTTAAATATACTCGCTAACACTTCAGCTTTACAGCTCATGCAATTCTGTGAAAACAAATACATGTTAAAATCTATGACTTCACAGTTTCGGAGAACCTTCATGACATTTTTTTTTATGTCCACATAAATCAGCTGGGCCACCATATATGGTTTATGAATTTAAATATGGTTATTTAGGATTTTATACACATATTTTGACCTAAGAAAACCATACACATTAATTTGCCACATGTTTTTTTTTTAACATAGTGTCATGTTGGTAACTAGGCCAGTGATGTAGACAGGATGCATCTTAATTGTTTGATGTCACATGGTCACTCCGGGGCTGAATTTACTGCAGTGTTGATTAGAATTTCGATCTATATTGAATCGGCTAAATGTCACAACACAAACAAAAAGCTGCCTCTTGTACTAGGGAGGGTCTATGGTAAAAGGAAGTGCACTGTATCTTTAAGTTGAGCCCCAATGTGAAAGATGACAGAAGGAAACTGCAGTCACTTCCTCTGGCTGGCTCGCCTGCTTTCCGTCATGGGAACTTATGTGTTTGTGCAGACAGACTCTTAACCTCATCTGCCGTACCTTCAGGCCAGTGCGCTCACTGGCTACCTTGCATCTGGGATGTCTATGTTGTGTCGTAGGTTTTTACCGCAGGGTCGGTCACTGAAGATCAAGAATACTGGTGGTCTGGTTGAGGTAAGAATGTGTTACCAAAGAGCAGATGTTCGATTTTTTTCGTCATGTATATTGAAAATAGACATTTGTTTGATATTCTGTTCTGATGTTTTAGAGGTTTGATTTGCAATGTGTTATTTTAGTGGCTTGGCAACTTTTTTTTCTGCTTCCCGAGATCATTGTTTCGCTCCAGTTGAGAATGGCGTGAATTACATAAATCACTTGTGTTGTTGAAATAGTGTTTTTTTTTAATTCTTGAACTTGCTTGGACATGTTTATACGTTTTAGCCATGTTTAAACTTTTTGGGAAGTGCACTTTGACCCTCTTCCTTCCTATACTGTTTGTAGCCAAATAATTTTTTCCCTAATTTTATGATATTAAGCCACCCATCTATACTCACTGGAATACTAGTTCAGTAAATGTACAGCAGCATTTTACTTGTTATTAGTATGTATTGGATATTAAGAATTAATCAGACAGCTTTTAATCCTTTTAGTTGAATCCTGCCAATATTTTGTTGTTGTTTTGCATGGCTTGCACATGATCAGAATCTTGGTATGTGATTGTTGGAGCAGATCAGACAGGGTTTTGTAATCAGGGTGGTCTGTAAAAATGGCCACAATTTGCGGTTTCCCCACTAGAGCTATCTTTGTTCTCAAGCACATCACTGTAATGGAGTGAGCATACTGTGATTTTGACACTTCATGCAAGGTGTCAAAGAAACAAGGAAAAAGGACAGCGTATTTGATGTATAGATGGCTACATGGATGGTTGGATGAATGGCGTGAATTACATAAATCACTTGTGTTGTTGAAATAGTGTGTTTTTTTTTTATTCTTGAACTTGCTTGGACATGTTTATACGTTTTAGCCATGTTTAAACTTTTTGGGAAGTGCACTTTGACCCTCTTCCTTCCTATACTGTTTGTAGCCAAATAATTTTTTCCCTAATTTTATGATATTAAGCCACCCATCTATACTCACTGGAATACTAGTTCAGTAAATGTACAGCAGCATTTTACTTGTTATTAGTATGTATTGGATATTAAGAATTAATCAGACAGCTTTTAATCCTTTTAGTTGAATCCTGCCAATATTTTGTTGTTGTTTTGCATGGCTTGCACATGATCAGAATCTTGGTATGTGATTGTTGGAGCAGATCAGACAGGGTTTTGTAATCAGGGTGGTCTGTAAAAATGGCCACAATTTGCGGTTTCCCCACTAGAGCTATCTTTGTTCTCAAGCACATCACTGTAATGGAGTGAGCATACTGTGATTTTGACACTTCATGCAAGGTGTCAAAGAAACAAGGAAAAAGGACAGCGTATTTGATGTATAGATGGCTACATGGATGGGTAGATGGTTGGATGATAGGTAGTTGGGTGGATAGAGAGATGATGGTAGACAGATGAATAAGATAGATGGGTAGATACATTTATATGTTGGTAGATGGATTGTTAGGGGGTAGGTAGATGGGTAGATAGATGGAAGGATGGGTAGATGGATGGATAAGATGGATGGGTGGATTGTTAGATGGATTGATGGGTAGATACATTTATAGATAGGTGGATGGATGGTTGGGGTAGGTAGATGGATGAAACGATGGGCAGATGGATGGTAGATTGGTAGATTGATTGACTGATGGGTAGATAAATTTATAGATGGTAGATGGGTGGTTGGGGTAGGTAGATGGATAGATGGGTAGATAGATGGAATGATGTGTAGATGGATGAGTAGATGGGTAGATATATGGATAGATTGGTAGATGGATTGATGGGTAAATAAATGGGTAGATAAATTTATAGATGGGTAGATGGAGTGATAGATGGGTAGATAAGATGGATGATAGATGGATGAGTAGGTTGGTGGATGGATGGATGGATGGATGAGTAAATGGATAGGTACAGGTGGATGGTAGGTAGATGGATGGGTAAATTGGTAAATGGATTGATGGTAGATACATTTTTAAATGGGTGGATGGATAGATGGAAGATGGGTGGATGATAGATGGATGGGTAGGTTTATGGATGGATGGATGATATGGTAAGAATGTGATATTGAGGACAGATGGAAGGATGGATGGATAGATTTTGACATTGAGGATGGATGGACGGATGGATGTATAGGTAGATAGATGGGTAAGTAGATATGATGTTGAGTACAGAGAGAATACTGTAAATGTGATATTGAGGATAGATAGATGTTGAGAATATATAAACGTGTGTGTTCATCCCTGCAGCTGGTATATGAATGAAAGTATTGATTGTGCAGCTGATGAGGTTTCCCAGTACTCTGCTGACACTGGGAGTTTTATGATGGATGTGCTCCACTCCCATTTAATCTCCCATCTGGGCAGGGACCTCACTGTAATTTAGTCTAATGCACAGCTCGGACTGTCTGAAAACACTGTACATCACACATCTACACTCTGATTTATTCATTCACCTTTTGGCTTGTATTTTGCAGGAGAAGGACAAGAATAAGGAGCGTGAGCGAGATGCCAAAGACAAGGAGAAGAGAGCCTCAAACGGGCATCTCTTCACTGCGGTCATGACAGTACCCACAATCCCCTGCCAGCAGTGCAACAAACCCATCAACACTAGAGATGCCTTCCTCTGCACCAGTAAGAAATAGAATACAGAACTCTATTCTACTCTCTATAATCGTCTCTACTATTCTGCGCTCTATTTTCTGCTTTACTGTGCTTTCTTTAATGATTTCAATTTTTTATTCTTTTTCACTCTTTTCAATTCTACATTCTCATTTATTTCATTTTATAATCTTCTTAACTATTCTATACTGTATTTCTGTTCTCTTCTATTGCATATTCGGCACTCTTCTATTTTTATTTACTGTTCTATACTTTCTGTTCTACAACCTTTTCTAAATGTTATACGTCACTCTTCTCCTCTCTACTTTTCCCTTCTATTCAACTCTATTCTACACTGTATACTCTACTCTTATATTCTATCATCTTTATACTGGTCTATACTCTACTCTATTCTATACTCTATTTTACACTCTATTCAACATTCTATAATCTACTGTTTTTCTGTATACTTTTTTTTACTATTTTCTACTGTATTTCTATACTCTGTTCTGCTCAGTAAATTGTATACTCTTCCATTCTGTTTTCTGTTCTGCTCAGTCAGTACACTATATGTTCTACATCATACTATATAAATTCTTTATTATTCTATACTCTATTTCAGAGTTTCCCAGAGTTATGGGAATGTCTTTTCTATCTGTGTTGGGGGGAAAAAATCTCAATTGAAAGGAAACAATAATAAATAAATAAATAAATTAATTAATTAATTAATCAAATTGTATGCTAGAACAATGATATTCATATGGCTAAAATGACTAAAATCTCCTTATAAAACACTCCTGTAAAAAGAGGTAACTGCATGCAATTTGTTATGATAAAAATACAAATTTCATACAATACATCTGTTTAATTAAAATGTATTTGGATCAGCATCAGTTGTGAAGTTATTCAATTAAATTTGTGCAAAAACCAAAAAATTTGGTAAAATACTGATCTGTTCTATTCTGTTGCTTCTTTTGTTTTGCCATAGGCTGGTGTCTTTTTTTGGCACTTCCTCCTTTACTGTCATTTGCAGCGCAGTCGTGCATAGAGTTTAATTTACCACTGTGAAAGTGTTTTTTTTTTTTGTTTTTTTTGCAGAAGCTTGCTTCGCAAGAGATTCACACAGGAAGTTGGTTAAATACATTTTATTCCATAGAGAAAATGCCCACAGATTGTCTCTAGAAATAAAAAAGCTGTTTTAATTAGCTAGTCAGCGACAGCTTCTAAGATGTAGATAAGTAATTGTGATTTAAAACCGCGCATGAGCAGGTTTCTGTAGAGACACGGTTGGGCACAATATGTGTGGAGAATTGGTTTAATATGTGTCTCAGAGTAAGCAGTGTTTTAAAGAAAGGAAGGAAAAAAAATAAAAGAGTAATCATGGCTATCTGCCCAGTCAGGCCTTACACAGTGTTGCATCACTCTGTGGCTCCACCCGCACACAGCTGGCGAGGCTCAGCGCTGCACCGAGGCCAGTCAGTGTGCTGGAACATCCTGTCAGCGCACCGCTACCGCCATTGCTCTCTCTGTTTCTTGTTCTCAGAGGATGTGCTGGCAGACTCATTACCATTTCCTCTCGTTTCCCAAAAGTGACTGACGCGCGAGACACTTTTAGTCAGTTTGATCAGATCTCTGAAAGTCTTGTGTAACGTTGTTGTTGTTATTATTATTATTATTTAACAATTGAATACTCTGCTATTAAATGCTAAATACTTTTTTTTTTTTTGGCTGAATAAAAGTATGAATTTAAAAAATCTAAATTAATTAATTAAAATAAAGATTTTACTGACCCCACATTTTTGAATGATAGTGTATGTTGCTTTTCTTGTAAAATAGTCGCTTTCCGTGACTGTGTGGGATTTGCTGGAGAAGTTCTGTTGGAGTGGGGAAAGTTGTGAACTCGTGGGGAAATTATCACAATCTCTACGCCTTCAGACATGTAGGTTGTTGAAGTTCTCCCTGTTGAAAAAACCAGCATATGCTGGTTAGGTATGTTTTGACGCTGGGATGCTGGTTTAAGCTGGTCCTTTGCTGGTTGATGCTTGTCATGTGCTTGTTTATGCTGGTCCTTAGCTGGTTTATGCTGGTCCTTAGCTGGTTTATGCTGGTCCTTAGCTGGTTTATGCTGGTCCTTAGCTGGTTTATGCTGGTCCTTAGCTGGTTTATGCTGGTCCTTAGCTGGTTTATGCTGGTCCTTAGCTGGTTTATGCTGGTCCTTAGCTGGTTTATGCTGGTCCTTAGCTGGTTTATGCTGGTCCTTAGCTGGTTTATGCTGGTCCTTAGCTGGTTTATGCTGGTCCTTAGCTGGTTTATGCTGGTCCTTAGCTGGTTTATGCTGGTCCTTAGCTGGTTTATGCTGGTCCTTAGCTGGTTTATGCTGGTCCTTAGCTGGTTTATGCTGGTCCTTAGCTGGTTTATGCTGGTCCTTAGCTGGTTTATGCTGGTCCTTAGCTGGTTTATGCTGGTCCTTAGCTGGTTTATGCTGGTCCTTAGCTGGTTTATGCTGGTCCTTAGCTGGTTTATGCTGGTCCTTAGCTGGTTTATGCTGGTCCTTAGCTGGTTTATGCTGGTCCTTAGCTGGTTTATGCTGGTCCTTAGCTGGTTTATGCTGGTCCTTAGCTGGTTTATGCTGGTCCTTAGCTGGTTTATGCTGGTCCTTAGCTGGTTTATGCTGGTCCTTAGCTGGTTTATGCTGGTCCTTAGCTGGTTTATGCTGGTCCTTAGCTGGTTTATGCTGGTCCTTAGCTGGTTTATGCTGGTCCTTAGCTGGTTTATGCTGGTCCTTAGCTGGTTTATGCTGGTCCTTAGCTGGTTTATGCTGGTCCTTAGCTGGTTTATGCTGGTCCTTAGCTGGTTTATGCTGGTCCTTAGCTGGTTTATGCTGGTCCTTAGCTGGTTTATGCTGGTCCTTAGCTGGTTTATGCTGGTCCTTTGCCAGCACATGACCAGCTTAAACCAGCATCCCAGCGTCAAAACATACCTAACCAGCATATGCTGTTTTTTTCAACAGCTATCAGCCCTTGATACCATCATGCACACGATCTGAGATTATGTGTGGTTTTGTTTTTAAAAGCTTGTAAATCTCTTTTGGGTGTGTCTAACTGTACTGCAGTTTTGTGGTCATGAGGTGCAAAGTACACTGACAGAGAAAAGCAAAAACACCTCTGTGCAGGTTTGTGTTGACTGAGAATTAGCATTAACGTTAGCATAATATCTGCATGATATCAAATTGGTTGTACATTTGAAGTAACCAATCATTTGTGCCATATGTTTATATATTGTGTCTGAATTTTAATTTCAATCAACTCTTTTTTTTTAATATTTAACTTCTAAAATACACAATTTTAGCTTGTTTTCATAGAGAAAACAAGTGTAAACACTGACTTGGCACATATACTTGAAATCTTTAAACGTTCAAGACTAGTAATGACTCAATCGAAGTGTTTGTGGTTAAATTTGTGGTAAACATCAGCTGTTTAGCAGAGGTGGAGTCACGCAGGAAAAGGCTAATCTCACTCTCTCCTACACAAACAGAGAAGCAGGAAATGGCACAGTGTTTGTTACAGTGCCACTTTTCTTCCAGATGCCTATTCTGTTTGCTGCTGTTTTTTTTCTAGCTTCAGGCTTATTCTATCTGCTTTTGGATAAGAACAAGTGGAATATAACACTAGATTGATGGATAAAGGCCTGTGCATTCAGTACTGACTGTACGGTTTGTGTGTGTGTTTGTTTTCAGATTGCAATGCACAAGTCCACAAAGGCTGCAGAGAGAGTCTTCCTGTTTGTGCCAAGGTCAAAATGAAGGTATTCCATTGTCTTTTATCTTGGTTCTCATATGACATATGTCATAAACAGTGAAACTTTTGCACAATTGATATGTTTCTTTGCTAATTATTGTCAGTTTTATGACCAAAACTGTAGAAATAACACAAGTAATGGGGAAGTTTACTTACCACAAATTTAAGATTCTGTCAGTATTTACTCAAAAGTGGATTGAGTGGATCTTAAAAGTATGACATGAGTATAAATTAATAATGACAGAATTTTCATTTTTGTGTGAGCTCTTCTTTTAATATCATAATATGAATCTATGCAGATTAAAGACTCTTCAAATATTTCTTTCAGCAGCAAAAACAGCAGCAGACCGTTCCAGATTCTGCCTCGACGTCTGGTGTCACGCTTAGAAGTAAAAGTAAGGTCCTCATACAATTATGCATTTCTTCATGTTTTATGTATTTCTGCTTTATTTCAAAAATATGACCGTGTAATCTTGTTAATATGTTTAGCCCTGCCAGCACGGGATCGTCCATGGTCTGCCATCTCCATTCCCGATGATCAACCCGCTCCTCTCGCCCCTCCTCGGAAAAGCCCCAGCAGTATCATGTCTTTCAACAGCAACCCGCTGTCTAAGAGCATGTCCATTAATAACATTGCAGGGTCAGTGCCAATGCTAGCTGATAACATACAGATGTTTTTAGATTTACTATTGTAATTGCTTTAAAAATCACAGTTTTGCACCATTTTTTCAGTATCTTCACAATATTTCTTCATTCAAAATTGTGGCCTTGATATTTTGATTTTGAGCTCATTACATTTTAAAATCAATAGGGCATTAAAACATGGAGTATATAATATATCTTATGCTCTTTGCACATTCAGACAAATGGAAGACCCTCCTCTAAAGAGTCTGAAGTTTCTGTCCCAATCGACTGACTCTCTTCACAAGACCAGTAAAGTCAGTGAGTCCACAGAATCTCTTACTGATGAGGGTAAGTCTCTTCATTTCATACTTGAATCATTACCAATAAAATATACACCTGTCTTGAGTCCAATCAAGTTAAGTTTTTTATTAATTATTTACAATGTGGTTATTCATAATAATTAAATCATTAAATTGTTTACAATTGCAAATATATTATTATTATTATCTAGATTTATCTAGAAATTATTTTATATTAATTTAATGAATTTTTATTTTATTTTAAGAAATACATTTTATGAATGGTTTTTTTTTTTCCTGCAAGGATTAAATTGGACAAAAGTTGACAGTAAATAAATTTTTAACATTTACACAAGATTTAGATTTCAAATAAACGGTGTTCTTTTGAACTTTCTATTCACTAAAGAATCCTGAAATATGTAAAATCCCAAAAATATTAAGCATCTTAACTGTTTTCAACATTTGCCATTACATCACAAATTACAGTTTCAATAAAATAAAAAAAACAGCTATTTTAAATTACAGTAATTTCACATTTTTATTGTTTTTACTTTATTTTTTATTAAATAAATACAGCCTTTCATTACATTACAAAAACATTAAAAGCCTTAGCATTGGTAATGTAGCTGATCTTTATGAATGATTGACATTCACTTTATATAAACAGAAGCAAATGTATATAGTCTAGACAACAGCATCGTTCTAATCATTCTGTATGGCAGGTACAGAGATGATGGACAGTCAGTTGATGGGAGAGTTTGAAGCTGATGCCAAAGATCTGGAAGCAGATTCATGGAGTTTTACGGTGGACAAGAAATTCCTGAAACAGCTTAAAAAGGATGTTATCAAGAGGCAAGATGTCATCTACGGTAAGAGTCACACCAGACCCTCCCAAGAAGCTTCTGCTTTCACTTTCAAACTTTGTGAGAAGAAGTATTGAAACTGTTGAATGAGGTCACTGACACATTTGTAAGGTCATCTGATAAAGTTCCTGCCTCCTCTCATTATTAGAACTCATCCAGACAGAAATGCACCACGTGAGGACCTTGAAGATTATGGCTGATGTTTACAGTAAAGGGCTACTGAGAGAGGTTCAACTGGAGGTTCAGACTGTAGAGAAGATGTTCCCCATGTTAGATGATGTTCTGGACTTGCACACACAGTTCTTCTCACAGTTGCTCGAAAGGAAGAAAGAGTCAGGGAGCCAGGAAGAGGGTGGCTTTGTTATCCGAAAGATTGGTGATGTGCTGGTCTCTCAGGTAAGTTGTAGTTGTCAAACTTGTGATTGAACATTGAGAAGAGTGCCTCTAAATCTGTGGAAATGCATTGATTTGTAATCTCTGGAACATTTAGTATAAGAAACATAAAAAAATTTTCCACCATTTATTTTTCCCTAGTTCTCAGGTTCCAGTGCCGAGAGAATGAAGAAGGTCTATGGGAAGTTCTGCAGCAGACACAATGAAGCTGTGAACTTCTACAAGGAGCTTCACACCAAAGACAAACGTTTTCAAGCTTTCATCAAGGTAGCCATCTCATATTATTTTGCCTTCACGAATTTCTCATAGTATGTTAGTTTGTAAAATTAGCCTAAAGCGTTTATTCTTTTCCTCCTTTTGTTTCCTGCTCAAGCCTGAAAATGGAACTGATCCTGTGTTTCACATCTGTTTCTGTTTTCCAGAAAAAGATGAGCAGCCCTGTTGTCCGACGGCTAAGCATTTCTGAGTGTATATTGTTAGTCACACAACGAATAACAAAGTATCCTGTCTTACTACAGAGAATACTGCAGCACACGAAAGGTATGATTAGTTACTATACTCGTCAGGCTATTTTAATACCCTTGAACTCATCTGTAGTGCTCCAGGTAATATTCTAAAGTATTTCATGACAGAAAATGAAGACGACCATGCTGATGTAACCCAAGGTCTGAAGTTGGTGAAGGAGGTGATTGCTGCCGTGGACAATAAAGTGAATGAGCATGAGAAGAAAAAGAGGCTAAAGGAAGTGTACAGCCGGACGGACAGCAAGTCCATCATGAGGATGAAAAGTGGGCAGATGTTTGCCAGAGAGGATCTGCTACGTGGGCAGAAGTTAATTCACGATGGGCCACTACAGCTCAAGAACTCTGCGGGCAGACTCAAGGGTGAGAACCAGTGCAATGGGTTCATTGGTGAATGAATATATCAGCAGATAAAAAGAAGCTGAAAAAAATTCTCAGAACCCCTTAGCAACCGCATAGAAAAACCACCCACAACACACTAGCAACTACATAACAACAACAATATAAAACCCACTCAGAAAACCTTAGCAACTGCATAGCACCAGACTGGCAACCACATGCAACACCCTAGCAACCAAGTAACAACGTGTAAGACACTTTAACAGGACACCTTATAGCAACACCCTGGCAACCACATAAAACAATGATGTGTAAAAGACACTCAGAACACTTTAACAGCCTTACAGCAACCACATAGCAACACCCAGACATCCACACAACAACAATTACATGTAAAAGACACTCAGACCTCATTAACAAACTTATAGCAACCACATAGCAACACCCTGGCAATCACATAACAACAATTACATGTAAAAGACACTCAGAATGCCTTAACAACCTTATAGCAACTGCATATTAACACCCAGGCAACGACATGACATAACAATTACATGTAAAAGACACTCAGAATACCTTAACAACCTTATAGCAACACCCTAGCATCTACATAACAACAACATGTAAAAAAAGACTCTCAGAACACATTCCCAACCGCATAGCGACACCCTACCAACCACATAAAA